GAGAGCCGGCGGGGCGGAGTGCGGGCGCGGCGGAGAGCGGGCGCGGCGGAGAGCGGGCGGGGGAGGTCCATGTTCGGGTGCGGGTCAGGTGTAGGGTTGGAAGAAAGGAGCCAAACGTTTGGGGTGGGGGATCCAGGCTGAAGCCCAGTCTCAGGATCCCCTCCTACAGCTCCCTCAGCTCCATCAGCTCCATCTCGGTGGCCGGGGGCCGTAGAAATGTCATAGCGATAGTGTGGCTTCCGCGTGATCTTCCCCATTGGTCATTGCCCTTCTTGCCCCCATGCGTTCTTTCTTTCAGACGTCCATAGTGGGCCCACTTAGGGCCAGAACCCTGGCCAGGGTTAGGGTTTGGTCCCAGGAGGCTCCAGGCACTGAACCCCCAGCAGTGCAGTGGAGGGCGCATGGAGGCTGCAGGTCAGGCTTCGTCTCCACGCTCAAGGGCCCGCCTAGAGTGTGGGCCACGTGAAGGTCGGACCTCAATTTCCCCCTGGCATAGCGTCATCTCTGCTTTGAAAATGGCACGGGGATCTTCCCAATTCCACGCTGAATCTTCCCGTGCTGGTTTTCGAGAGGGGAGGGAAGGGGAGGGGAGAGGAGAGGGAAGGGGAGAGGAGAGGGGAGGGGAACGGAGGGGAGGGGAGGGAGAGTGGGCGAGGAGGGGAGCGAGAGGGGCGGGGCGGGGAGCGAGGGGAGAGGGAGGAGCGGGTGGGGAGCGGGACTGGCGGGTGCGAGTGAGGAGAGGCCGGTTGCTTATGAATGGGACGTGGCCTATGTAAAGGAGGCAGCAGACGGTGCCGTTTTGGGCGGTGGAATTCCCCGTGCTGTGGAAGTCCCAGAGCTGCTGCCTGGTTTGTCTGAGGAAGACGTGTGGTGGGGTAAGCATGGTTGAGATAGGAGTGGGTGCAGAGGGTTCTGAGGTGCGGGGAGGCAAGTGACCTTATCTGTGTGAAGCTATGGTGGTGGGAGGCGGTTGAGGTTATATTAGCTAGGTATGGAAAATGGTTTGCCCGAAAAGGGGCAGTTTGGTTGTGGACTTTATGAAGTGTGATCAGTTTGTGTTATTTGGTTTGTACTAACTCTAATCCTAACAATTCCTCAGACCACTGCATTCGTATTGGGCCTTCCTTAGGAAAGATTGAGAGTCATGAGGTCAGCGTGGGGACAGAAGCTGGTGGGCCCTGTGCTTGCTCTCAGGCTCAGGCATAAACTGTCCTTACAACCCTGTGTTGATTTGTAAATTCATGTTTTAAGGTTTTTCTGCTTCTATGTTTTCATTGGGGCTGTAGCTCTTTACTTTGTAAAAGTTTCACTTCAGAATTTACATTGATGTTTTCCAACTTTGGTTTTCACTTAGGGGAGTGCACCATTAGGGACTCGCAGGAACTGGGTGTACTCTCTTTCTGGAACAAAACAAAACAAAACAAAACAAGATATACAAAATGCAGATTTCCAAAATACCGGGCAAAAGAGGACAGCAATTCCGGACACTTGGGAACACACAGGTGAGCCAAGCCCTACACGACACACGTGCTGCCTGGACAGTTTCCAAGCAAGGGGCGGGCGGGGGAAACTGAAGAGGAGCCCAGTGGACCTTGTGGAGTTGGGGACACTGAGCTGAGAGTCCACAGGACAGTGTGGCAGGGAGGACAGAGCTGTGGAAAGTCAGCAAGAGCTGTTGGGGGGCACCAAGTGTGCAGCACAGTCCTGCTCTGTGTCTCCGTGGGGGACAACTCCAGCAAGTGAGGGGGCAATCTTGTGAAAGGGTTAGAGGGAAGAGGGCCTGCCCCTCAGCGCTGGGAATACAGCCTGTTGCCAACAGATAGACTGAAAAAAAGTAACCCCCCTAACTCACCAGGCATAGGGTGGAGGACTGGCCACAGTGCTGGGAACTCCTAATTAGCCCTCTGCTGAGCACTGCTCAGGACCACTTAACAAACCATTAAAGCGACACCAGAAGTGATCAAACTGTTTCCAAGTAACTTAAATGCATCCCTGAACAAAACACAAAGATATCCAGCAACCACACAAGGTAAATTCACACTGGCCATTTCATCCAAGATGTTGAGGTATGCAGAGCAGCAGGGGAAATGACCCTGTTGTGCCCGATTCGCGAGTCCCCTGAGACCCCCAAGGAGCCGGCACCGATGCAAGTACAAAAGGGTCTTTATTACAAGCTTGAGCAGGGGCTCACCTGCCTACCGGTGTCCTGGCAGAAGGTGAAGCCCCGAACAATAGTGAGCAGGGTTTTTAAGGGGTAAGGGATGGGAGTGTTACAGTGCACACATTGTACATATGGCATCATCACATAAGCACCAATTACAATTGTACAGCAGCTCCCATGGTAACAGCTTTGACCATTCAGTATCTGTGAGGTGTTCATTACATTTGGTGGGACCCAATCATGACTTTTGAGGATCCTTTGAAAATGACCAATTATGAGGTGAGTTCAAAGGTCCCACGTGGGGTTCAGGCAAGCGGTGAGAAATTGGCTAGTTTGTACAGAATAACTGCAGTTCCCAGCCTTGAATTAGACCACAGGAATGTTTTTGATTAGCTGACCTGAGGGCGGTCCGAGGATGGCTTTAGCCTTGAGCAATCTGAGGAACTGGGGCTACGTGCAGCCCGAGGTTCCTCTTAATGGAGGCCTTAATTTTAAATAGGCTCTTCAGCCCTTAATGAGGAGACAGATCAATCATCTGAAAATGACCCAAAGCTGACACAGATGTGAGAATCACCAGAGGAGGACATTAAGGTGTTTCTCATAACTGTATTCCATGAGTTCAGAATGTTCAGCAGATAAATGGAAAATGTGAAAAAGCCCCAATCTCACCTTAGGTGATGAAAACCACAGTGTCTGAAAGGAAGTGTACTACAAGGGGTTGACAGCAATAGAAAATGCAGGAGAAAAACATTTCATAGGATTTGTCTTGAATTTGCAGATCCCTTTGGTTAGTATTGCCCCCTTCACTCCATAAAATCTAATCCATGATCATAGGATGTCTTGATATTTCTTTAGTTTTCCCTAATCTCTTACAGCAATGTTGTGTAGTTTTCTGTGTAAAGGCCTTTGCCTCCTTGAATTAGTTCATTTCTAGATATTTTATTGTTTTGGTTGCTACTGTAAGTGCAGTTGTTTTCTTAATTTCCTTTTCAGATTGGTCTTTGTTAGTATAGGGAAATACAGTTGACTTTTGTCTATCTCGTCCTCTGCAACTTTACAGAATTAGTTTATTGACTCTAGTATTTTTGTTTGTGAAGTACTTGGGCTTTTTCTCTAGATAGGAGGATGCCATCCACAAATAGAGATACTTTTATTTATTCCTTTCCACACTGTGTTTGGTCAACTTCAATTTTGAAAGATATTTGGGCTGGATATGGAAGCCGGCACCTGCCACAGGCTGCACCTGGATTTTTGGGTCAGAGATGAGCAGTGACGGGAGGTTGCCTGCCTGGGGCCCTGGATGAGCACACACAGCCTGGCCAGGGAGATAGGGGCCAGCAGGAGTCCTCGTTCTTTACAACCACCTCAAATGGAAAGGACCAAAAGACCCTTGGAGGCCCCTTTAGGGAGGGTTCCTGCCCCTCCCCCACCTGGGAATGGCCCAGAAGTGAGAAGTCAGAAAGGGGAAGGGGTGGGGTGGCTGTTGATTCCAGGCCTTAGGGGCCCCTGAAAGCTGTGCCTCATTCCACGTGTGGAGAGCAAAATGGACTCTCTCATTCAAGCAGGGGCCTGGGTCAAGCAATAACGCAAGCAGTTAAAGATATTGCAGCTAGGAGGTACTGCCAAGGACCAGCATCAGCTGACACCCCAGAACTGACAATAATCAGAAACAGAGGAGGGGGCCAAGACTGTAAATCCCTTTAAAAAGGAGAGGATTTCTGCAGCAAACTGTCAGACTCTTCAGAGGTGGCCTCTCTATGTCTGACCACTTCAAAAGGCAGCTGCTTGCCGAAGGCTCTGCCCAGCTGATCCCTGAACACAACTGAGATCCTTCACTGCTTAAGCGTAATAAGCAGTAAGTGCCACCAGCTGTCCTGGCCCAGACCAAGGCCAGGACTGCGTGCCCACAGACTGACTTCTACACCTTCCGTTAGCTTGTTTGTTGTACGGTTTGTCTTATGTTCTGCTCTGTGTGCTGGGTAAGAAGCCAAGTTTAATCACATGGTGAAATGTCACTGAATTTGGAAGCCTGCTTTATAATTGTGATTAACTTTGCTTTATGATCGAATACAGCTGACATTGTAGAAAGACACAACTCTGTGCGTGTGCCTTATTTAGTGTCAGAAAGGGGAAGCTGCCAAGCCCAAAAGGCAGAGCCACACACGCTTGCAGAGGGAGCACTTTCTCTGTTATAATTTGAATTCAAACCCAAGCTACCAAGGTTCGAAACCCCCTACCAGCTGCAGCATGACCGCTGTGTGGCCCCCATGACCTGTGGTGCTATACAGTTGAGTCTCAGCATTTGAGGTTAGTAGCAGCTAGAATTGAACTAATCTCTCCCTCTCTCCCTTCCTTCGTCTCTCTTTCTCTCCTCCTTCCCTCCTTTCTTCACTCTGCCCTTTCTCTCCCTCCCTTGCTCTCCCTTCCTTGCTCTCCCTCTCCCTCCTACACATGCTTGCCTACCCTCACCTTCTTTCTCTTCAACTTTCCCTTTTACCCCTCTCCCTGCCACCAGCACACTCAGACTGAGGCTGCTGCACTGCTGTGGGTGGAGTGGGAAGCCCAGTGTCTTTCTAGGTAAGGCCCTCTAGACATCTGTAGAACTTTTAACTGGTTCTAAACAGCTGCTAGAATAAAGACTGTTAAGAACAGCCCCCCCCCTTTTTTTAAAATATAGTTTATTTATTTTTGAGACAGAGCATGAATGGGGGAGGGGCAGAGAGAGTGAGAGAGACACGGAATCCAAAACAGGCTCCAGGCTCTGAGCTGCCAGGACAGAACCCGTCGTGGGGCTCAAAGCCACCAACTACGAGGTCATGACCTGCGCCAAAGTTGGGCACTCAACCGCTGAGCCACCCAGGTGCCCCAAGAACAGCCCATTTGAAAAACTTTTACCCAGCTCCATTCCAGGGTTCCTCCAGGACTGAAGACCGAAGAGTCTGCAGTAGAGCTTAGTACCCCACCCCGACCCCATGGCAGAATGTATCCTTTGTGGAGAGTTTATGGGTGCCTGCTTGGTGACAGGCCCTGCCCTGGCTGCATGGTGAGCAAACCCTAGGTCCTTGCATCATGGAGCCTCCTCTGGAGGCCTAAGGGTGGTGCAGTGGGGGCACAGCTGGTTAGTTCCTTTCCACTATGGAGTCCGTGCACTCCAACTTGGGGAGATTTGCTGTGCACAAAAAATGGATGAAGCCGACCAAGAATGGGAAATGCGTGACTTCAGCACTGAGAGGCTGCTGGCCTCACTTGGAGCTCACCTGCTTGCAAGACAGCTCAGAGGGCTTGCGAGATAGGGAGGGCCTTGGGCCCAGGATTTTGGTTCTCAGTCCCAGGTCACTCCCTGAAAATCACCCTGAGGCAGCAGCTGCAAATTGGCGATAGTCTGCCGTACTTGGACGCATTGCCTGATCAGGTCAAGGACTCCTCTGAATCAGAGAACCCAGGGGTCTCTTATTAGAAGAATCACTGCCCAGCTGACCTGTACTACCCTGGAAATACAGTCCAGTATCTTCCAGCTTTGCCTTCAAGAAAAATATGCTCGTTTATGTGGATTATGCATTGAGATTAGGCGTATCCCTTATCACCCTAGGCACTGATCCTATGACCCCGCCTCACCCACAAGATTATTAACTCCTCCAGAGCAGGGGTTCTCATGCTTAGCCAGTCCTGGATGATAAGCTTTGCATTTGAGACATCTGATAAACATTTGCAGAATAATACGTGCCTGCCTTTGTTTTGACGGAACCCACACTTAGAAGATTACTTCCTGTAATTGAGAGGTTGTGCCTCCCAAGAGAGTGCAGAGAAGGAAAGAAAAGAAGTGGGAGGTGCAGTGGACAGGGATGTGGGGAGACCCTGTGGATTATTACTGGGCAGCATGCTGCCCCCTTGTGGCCTACCAGCTACAAGACAGCCCATGACATTGCTTGGATCCCATTTCTTACACTTTTGGCTCTCAAGACCCTTGTACACTAGAAAAATTATTGAAGATACCAAAGAGCTTTTGTTTATGTGGGTTATGTGTGTTAATATGTATAATATTAGAAATTTTAAAGTTAAAATACTGATTCACTTAAACTAGTATTAGTAAGCCCATATTAACACATCTTTAAATGAAAATTACTATTTTTTAAAGCAAATAAGTGATATCAGTTTTTACATTTTTGTACACCTCTTTAATGCATGGGTTAAAAGAAGACCTCCCTGGATTCTCATATCCATTTCTGCATTCAGTGTGTTTTCTATGTTGTTTTGGTTGGAGATCAGAAGAAAATCCAACCTCACACAGATAAGTAGTTGGAAAGGGGAGGAATATATTAATAGCCTTTAAAAATAAGTACGGATATTCTTCTTTGATAAGTCATCAAAACTCAACAAGTAGAGGTTTCTTAAGGTTAGCTGCAATGTAGAATTTGAAACCATATCAGTGAGCCCTTTGTATTCTGTTACATTAAAATCCTATGTCTATTGTGAAATTTGAATGGGTCTTTTATTCAGGCATCATTTTGTAAGTTCATATATTGGTCATTGAAAAATATTGATTCACTGAGTTATCCACACCTTGCAAATGCTGACCCATTTCAATACTTAATATGTACATATATAAATCAGATAAATTAATATCATCACTGATCTTATCAGAAACGTCTTAAAGTACTGAGAAACTGTCAAACTCATGGTAGCCAACACAAATTTTCCAAAATTCTAATTTTTGTTTGAAAGCTCCAATTTCATTATTGCTAATAAATCTCATTGGTTGTTTTCCTTGAAGTAAAAGGTACACTCTGTCCGTTTTTGAGAAGATGTCTGAGATATATATCTATCTCCATGGTTTAGCTGTTCATTGTTCTTTCAATATACTTGAAATGGTGCTACATGAAAAAAAGTGGCTAGTTCAGCTCACCTTGCAGTCACACAAGCACTTTTCCCTGAGACGACCATGTTGAGAGAACATTCAGGAAAGGAGCTGCTCTGGCCAAGAGAGGTGAGTATGGCTGGGGAGGGTGACTGGGGCTGGCTCATTAAGAACTTAGCATTTTCATCCTAAGTACACAGAACCAGAGAGGGACAGCCTATATTCTTCCTCCTTCCTGATGCCATCATACAGAATGGGCCCCTTAGCCCTAAGAATTCACTGCCTGGTTGCTACTTGCTACCTCTTGGCTGCCACTGCCAAGTATTCCTATCCCTCACATCCCAGGGTTCGAATCTCATCCCTGAATTTCTCAATTGTAGACCCACCTGCAGAAGCGGACCATTGTCTTCAACTGTGGAACTAGATGTGCAGGAGGTGAGCTTCTCATTGCAAGAACTTTATTACTAGTCATGGTGGGGATACAGCAGAGGCAAGGAGAAACAACAAGTCAGCAAAGTTTGGGAATTGATAGGGTCCCTATGGTATTGATAGCAGACTACAGCTAAAGCAGCCCCCTGCTCTCCTTCACACTGCTCCTGGGGCCTTTCTCCCCAGCCCTGGGTCTGGTCAGTTAAATGGGGAGAACAGTAGTTGGAACTGGTACATTTGTGGGGCCCCCTGGAGGGGGCTTTTTTGGGTCCTGCAGGCCTAGGGTAAGACTAGCCCCACTAAGGGCCCCCTGTATGGATTTGGGGCATTCCCTCAGACGGGTCCTTTCTGCAGTCTCAGAAGGCTACCTCCACCCCCTTGAGAGGTGAGAGCCATGCTGGTCTTTGTGGAGATACTCCCCTCATGGAGTACTCCCCTTGTGGAGATACTCCCCTCTCAGCTTGGAGTGGGTGAGGGGCCAGGCATCTTGGTGGGGGTGGTGGATGCATGGGTCAGAATAAGTACTAGCGATGATAGCACATTGTGTGCTGCCCTTTGGAGTGCACCTTTCTGTTCTTTGCCTCCAAGCTACCTGTGCAGGTGGCCCTGGTGGAAAGAAGGTGTGGGGATGGGGGGTATTGGTCAGTGGCCCCCATCCACAGCCTTGACACTCCTTGAGCAGATCTGTCTTGTTGAGGATGAAAACAGTTTTCCTCTGCCCTTCAAAGTTCATTAGATGAACTAAAAATTAAATTAACATGAGACAGAATAACAGGAGAAAATCAAGGAAAGCTTAAGAAATTGTATACTTCGATACATATATGGCAGAGACCCAGGAAAACTGAGTAACTCCCTGAAATGGCCAGAGCCATCACCTTAAATACCATTGTCAGCTAAAGACAAACGATGTTGGGGACAGGAGGTCAGTTGTGGGAGGTCCCCCGAAAAAAGCACAGCAAACAAGGGCAAAGTTATTGCTTTCTCTATTGATAGCAGCTTCTGGAGACTGACAGTTACACACTCGTCCTGCTGCTGAAGGAGACACCCTTACAGGTGAAGATTTCCCCTATTCATGTAAGGGGCTCTTACAAAAGGGTGACTTCTTGGTTTCCATAACTTCTTATAGCTCTTGTGTATTTCCTTAAAAAATAACCAGCTTTGAATAATCGATATGCCAAAGAGGCATATCTTGGGGTGGCAAAGTTTGACCCCCTTCAAGGCCAAGAAGTCCCCAGATGTTGGGTTGGCTGGGCTTCCCAGAGGCTGGGGATGAGGAAGGAGCTCAGGGAGCCTTGGGCAATCATGCCCTTTCCCAGGGAGGCGGTACCTGAGCTTATTCATAGGGTGAGGCCTTGCTCTCAGCTTGAGTCTGGTCTCTCCCACTTAACTCTGGGTGCCCTGGACAGAGCCTCCTGGGAGCTTTAGAACTCTGCCCCCTCTCCACTTTCTGTTAGGAATCCACGTGTTCCTCTTCTCTCCAGGAAGCTAGGGCTCAAGTGCTCCCTTACAGGGAGGGAGTGCCCTCTGGTGAGAGGCATCCTGACGGCCTGAGAGGTGGCAGCTGGAGAAGGAGGGCAGGGCCAGAAGCCAAGTCTGAAGGAAGGAATTGCCAGCTAATGAAGGGGGGGCCACCTGCACCCTGACCTGTGGAACTGGGACAGCACAGGACCCACAGGTATTTTTGAGTGTGAGTGTGAGTGTGAGTGTGAGTGTTTTTTGTTGAGAAGCCCTCTCTCTTGGAAAAGACCGGACTGGTAGAGGACAGTTGGTAGAGGGGTGGGTGCCCTGTTTAGGGAGTGAAGCATGGTTGGGTTAACTGTCGGTGTCTCTTCCAGGGTCAAGGTCCACATTTTCCCATCCGTGTCCTGGGACCACATGAGGGTGCTGCTGTGGCTTCCTGTCTTGCTGGGTCTTGGGACCTGGAGTGAGTTTTCATTTACTGGATCAGAGGGTAACGAAGAAGGATCAATCTACCCTCAAAGCAGAGAAATGTGCTTTCTCCTTAGGGAGAAAGAATAACTTTGCATTTAGAACACAGAATTTGGACTCTGTAACCTATTTCAAATCCTTGGCCTGCCTCCAGCAACGATTTTAAGCAAATTATTCAGCCCTTTAAACCTTAATTTTCCCACTTGATATTTGAGATAATGTTATGGTTTCCCAAACTTTTCGAGGATTGAATGAGAATGTATATGAAGGACTTTGCGCTTGCACAATGGGAGCAATGGTTCTTTCTGTGTGATTTTCTATGTCAGTCAGAGTCAATCAGGGGTTTATGCTTGTCAATAAGAGAAAGTTCCTTGGAGATAGGGATGTCAGTTCTACACACAGGAGCTTGGGCACAGCGCATGCCACCAAATCAGCCCTGGAGGAACTGACTTGTTTTGTGCAGGTAATTCTAATCCCTTCTCCTTGTTTCTATTCAGTAAAAGAGGACCTTGTTCTTTTGAGATGCTTGGATACATTTCCACGTTGTATTTTTTTCCCCCAATTGTGTATAGATGCATCTCATGAGAAATGGATATATTTCTGCCTTCCTGCCCTTGGCTATTTAACTATGTTCTGGGAGATTCCCTGGAGTTGGTGTTGGAGAAAAGCATGCACATGTTGCTATTGGAGGTAGTCTTCCTGTTCGCCTAGAGGGGTCTCCTGGAAGGGCCGCAGTGATCTGGCCTGAGTCTGTCACTGAGATGGCTGGTACTGGGGCTCTCTGAGGACCAATGCAACATGAAATGTTCCTCTGCAGGTGATTTCTCCTGGAATGAAACACAAGCCAAACGTATTTCAGAGGGCCTTCAAGACCTGTTTCACAACATCTCTCAGCTCATTGATCAAGGAAGACTTGGTCTCAATGGTGAGGAGGCTTAAGGACTGCTGGGTGTTTGCTGTGACCAGTGCTTCTAGAGGCCTGCACTTCCCTTTGTGGCTGGCATGAGGGTGGATGGGGCTGAGAGAGTGAAGCATTAGCAGACCACCTGCTGGGATGACACAGGCCTTGGGGGTCTGGGTGGTATTGGGAGAGGGCAGAAACCAGGACAGGGAGATTCAGTCTCTTCATTGAGAGGCCCCTAGCCTGAGGATGGAGACCCACACCCTGCCCTCAGGGAGTCGTCAAACTGAAGGGAAGAGCCAGGCCATACCTTGAGGAGATGATGTAGTCCCTTCAAGAAGCACTCAAAACAGGACAAAATCAGAGCCACAGAGCAAACTGTCAATGAGCAGAGTGTGCACAGGGGGCATTAGTGCTGCCCACAAGGGCCTCTCAGGCTTTCCCCAGGGAAGCAGTGGGAAGGAGCTGCTTCCTGAAAGCAGGGGTCCTGGAGCAGAGCAGGGCAGGAGCTGCAGGGTGGAGTCTGTCCCAGGTGAGGACGCCCTGGATGAGCAGAGCATCGGGGCTTCTCTGGACAGGTCCATACTCTGCACTGGGGACAGTGGAAAGGATGTGGAGGTGAGAAGGAGAGGGTGTGCCTGTCTGCTGAAGGCCTCCTCTCAGGGGTCTTCTACACCCAAGGGGCAGACTCAGCCCAGAATGGCGCCTATGGCCTGAGGCGGTAGTGAGGGAGTGCTGGGGCAGGGTGTGCTGAGTGATATCCTCCTCACCTGTGTGGTTACCCCACAGCTGTCTCCACAGTGGTCTCTCACAAGGAGTGGGGGGCAGAAGCTGTTGGCTGCAACACCCCACTGACCAGGCCTGTGGATTTCTTTGTCACACACCATGTCCCTGGACTGGAGTGTCACAACCGGACTGTATGTAGTCAGAGGCTGTGGGAACTGTGGGCGCATCATGTGCACAACAACAGCTGGTGTGACGTGGCCTACAAGTAAGGGGCGAGGGATACGTGAGGGTACGTGGCCAATGCTGCTCCTTCGGGCACTTCTCTTGCCCTTACTCATCTCTGCTGTCCATTTCCCAGGTCGGAGTTACGTTGGGTTAATAATGAGTAAAATATATAACCCCTAAAAAATTCCAAGTCCTTTTGAATTTTCTGTGAGATCTCCTAAAAGAAAGCAAGAAGGTTAAGTAATAACTATACTTCTATTCCCCTGCAAACCTGCTTCACATAGCACATTAACAGTTACAAATGACTACTACATGCATGAATTCATTTGCTCCATCAACAGCATGTAAGGTTGGTCAGGCATGCATTAGTTTCTCCATGGTCCAGGTGAGGGACCAAAGCAGGGATGTTGTTTGATTTCCTCAGTCACACAACTGCAAGGTTGTGGAGCCCAGAGTGGCTCAGAACCGGCTCTTTGCCCACTGCGTGTCCTGCCGCACCACATTCAGGGGGCTCTCACTTTGTGAGGCATCTCTTACCCTAGTGGTCACTCTAGTGGACCCTTTCAGTGCCCAGGACCGCGTGACCTTGGCTTACCTCTGACCTCACCCAGTTATGGACATTTCCTATGCATGGTAATGGCTTCTCACTTCCAGTATCCTCTGCATCTCTCTGCTTTTCCACTTCAGATTTTCACCATCCCTGATGGTGAAGGCAAGTTAATACCCCCCTGGCAGGCAGGGGTTGTAAATAAGTTCCTCAGTCCCTGGCCTTTCTCAAGGACAATCATTAGGTCCATGTACTCAGTTCCTTGGAAGTTCACCCTGTCTGGTGCTGGGTGGTGGGAAGCGGGTAATGATTCTAAGCCCCAGGTGGCCATTGTGAAGCCAGCCTAATTGCATTGCACACGCTTTGTTGGGTTTCTTGCTTCTGATTTTCTCTCTTTGCTCCCTCACTCTGGCTTTTGGGATCCCTTCTCAAATAAACTGCCTGTGTCCATGTCCTTGTCTGAGGAGATACTTTCTGAGAAATTATGTAAGATAGTTACCTGGCAGGGAGAAATCACATGAGCAGCTTGCATGGAGATGACACAGGTAGCATGCATTTTGGCGAGAGGAAAGCCATGTTTGAGGCAATATAGAAGCTGAGAAGAATCTCACAGTGTATTTGAGTTTGTGTTAGCAACTGTGGTGGTACCAGGACTTCTCCTCCTTCTGAGTGTGTACGATGATTTACATAAAACCTGGGCATTTGAACAAAGAAGGTAGGGAGTGTGGGGGTAGCTTCTGACTTCTAAGAGAATGTCAATGACTTTGTCTATCCACTGTCTCGGACAAGTCCATGCAAATTCCCCGTAGTGAGCACAGCTTGAGCACTTCTCCCCTTGGAGGCTGGTAAGTGGTTCCTCTTGTGGGGATACGCCATAGTGCCAGCTACTCAGCCTGTGTCTCTCTGTTTCACAGCTTCCTGGTTGGAGACGACGGCAGGGTGTATGAAGGTGTCGGCTGGAACATCCAAGGCAGGCACACCCAGGGCTACAACAACATCTCCCTGGGCTTTGCTTTCTTCGGCACCAAGGAAGGTAATGGTTATCCCAGTGTCCTTCTCCAGAGGGTTACCTACTTCTTTGTTTCCACATCGACTCCTCGACCTCCTACTTCCCCAATGATTCACTCTTCTGGAGTTCGCCTCTCCTTTGGCCTCCATGAATGAATGATATTAGTTCTCTTCTTCCAACTCAGTCTCTGAGTTGGCTCCTTTCCCGCTGACAGTCTCACAGTGGAGGTGCCGTCCAGCCTTCTCTCTGCAGCCTTGTCACCATTATACACTCATCATGGAGGAATGTGGGCTTCTGCTCTCTTCTATCAGTGACTCACATCTTCCTCTCTGGCTCTCACCCTTCTGCAGTGCCAGGCCCTGTTTCCCATTTCCTGTCGGGAACCTCCTCCTCCTCTCTCACCCCAAGATTTTCTGTATAATTTTTAAAACCACTCTGAGCCTTCCAATTCCTGAGTGCCTTCCACTTTTATTCTTACTGCTGCCCATTCCCCCAGCCAACATCCTAGCATACATGCTCCAGGACCATTCCATTGAGTTTGTTACAATTCTTGCTCATCTAGTTTCTCACTGTCCCTCCCCAATACTCTGTGAGAAAATCCAGACAAGTTTCCTGATTGCTGTTACACAAAGTACAGCCTGAGCTCCAGAGAAGAAGTGACCCAAGGAGAAGAATCAGAAGGCAAGCCCACACTTTTCATTCCTAATTCCAGGGTGGTTTCCAGCATGCCAGAAGACTGTGTGTTCAGCTTGGTTTGTTTTTGTGACCACTTAATGCTACCTGAGTGCCACCCTGTTAGCTCTGGGGTCTTGAGCACATTACTTTTTAGAGCCTCAAGTTCCTCTCTATAAATATGAGCCTAATAATAGCATCCATCTCAGAGGTTTGTGGTGAGGATTCAAAGAAGTTAATGACGGTAAAGAGGCTGGCACATGCCTGGAAGGGTGCTTGCTAATGGGAAACCCTGGCCCGGCCAGCTGAGCATTCCGGAGTATGGTGCTGCCTCCCAGCTCTTCCATGGAGAAAGAGCAATAAATGAAGTCATAGCAGGTCACTGGGAAAGGTCTTCATCCTGGGCCAGGTGGATCCTTGACTTTCAGGCTTTCCAACCTGGGGGATGAGCCAGTTCCCCTCCAACAGCTTTGTAGGGGCTGGCAGCGCCTCTCATCCTTCTCCCACAATGCCTTGAAACCCAGGCCCGATCCAGGTCCACACAGATGGCTCTCTTTCAGGCCACAGTCCCAGCCCTGCTGCCCTGTCAGCCATGGAGGGTCTGATCTCCTATGCCATCCAGAAGGGCCACCTGTCCTCCATGTATGTTCAGCCACTTCTTGTGAAAGGTGAAAACTGCCTGGCTCCTCTGCAGAAAGCAAGTCCCAAGAAAGGTAAGACTTTCATCCCTACTTGGCCTCCCTTTAGACCTACCTACCCATCCTATGCCCTGATAACTTCCAAATGCCATTGAGAGTGACCTTTTCAATAAAGCTTTCATTGGAAGCCTTCTGATGGGCAACTGGTCACCCAACTCTCTGAAACTTTGAGGCTGGTACAACTTGAGACAGACTCTCCAGGTCATACCTCAGACTCATAGAATGATAGAGCTATGGCATTAGCCTGGTGTAATATATTTCTTGAGTCAGTCAACAATTAGTCATTGAAGATATATTATGGAATAAAACACATAAACAGCTTTATAAAGTTTCAAACTAGGGAGTAGAAAAATACAATAAGCAAATAAACAAGTAAAATATTTGATATTTATAAGGTGAAAAGTGCTGTGGAGGAAGAAAACATGGAGAGGGATAGGCATCTATCACAGATAAGCACAAAAGCACAAATGCGCAAATGCACATCTTTCTGAATATAAGAACTAGAAGAACGTTGATTGATTGAAGTGCTTTTTTTTTTTTTAATTTTTTATTTATTTATTTCTAGGAGAGAGAGAGAGACAGCGTGAGCAGGGGAGGGTCAGAGAGAGAGGGAGTCACAGACTCTGAAATAGGCTTCAGGCTCTGAGCTGGCAGTCAGCACAGAGCCTGACGCGGGGCCCGAACCCACGAACCGCGAGATCATGACCCAAGCGAAAGTCGGACGCTTAACCGACTAAGCCACCCAGGTGCCCCGATTGATTGAAGTGCTTAAGTCACCACCTATACTGACTTCAGAGGAAGGGGTTAGTATAATTCAGGTAATAAACACTAGATAAAAGGTAGATTTGGAGTTTAACAAATGGCAACATCAAAACCAGTATAGTTAAGGAACACCTGGCTGGTAGAGCATGGAACTCTTGATCTTTGGGTCATGAGTTCCAGCCCCATGTTGGCAGTAGAGTTTACTTAAAAAAAAATAGGGACGCTTATGTGGCTCATTTGGTTAAGCATCTGACTCTTGATTTAGGCTGAGGTCCTGATCTCATGGTCATGAGATTGAGCCCCCTATCAAGCTCCACACTGGGCATGTACCCTGTTTAAGATTCTCTCTCTCTTTCTCTCTCTCTCTCTCTCTCTCTCTCTCCCCCCCCTCCCCCTCTCCCTCTCCCTCTCCCTCTCTCTGTCCCTGTGTCTCTTCCCTGCTCATGCTGTACAAGAGTGTGTGCTAGCTTGCTCTCTGTCTCTCTCTCTCAAAGAAACCCAAAACTGACAGTGTAGTTAACCACTTTTGGCCTCTTCTTGGACTTAATATTAGCTCTATTATATGAAAGCTCTGAGTAAATCTGATCTCTGTCTTTGGATTAGCCATCTGCTAATATTAATAATTTCTTACACTGACAGAGAGTTTTAGGGATCATAAGTGAGTCTCAAAGACATGCTTTCAGATGAAAATTCAGCTGATTTGTCCAAACGGCCCTGTTATGCATGTACATACACATATGTACAAGACAATCATTCAGATAAATAAGTACCCTTTGTTCTTGGGAATCCTAAGTATCCATGTACCCTTAAGATCAACATTCCCACTGTCCTCTGGGTTCTGTTTTGGGGTTAGATCCCATGGCTCTATGATTCCTGCCTCTTGAATCTAATCCTACCATGCAGATATACTCACTACCAGGTGGGCTCTCCTGAGTTCCACAGTCAGGGTCAGGTCAAGATGCCCAGAGGGCATGGGGATGTTCAGTAGTGAGGTGGTTGGCATGAGTGGGCACAATGAGTCCACCCGTCAATGTTTTTTTTGCTTCCCTCCTCAGCTTGCTCTGACATTGTCCATCGATCTGCATGGGAGGCCAGGAAGACCCATTGCCCCAAGATGAACCTCCCGGCTAAGTACGTTGTCATCTTCCACACCGCTGGGAGAACCTGCATCATGTCTGATGAGTGCCGCCTGCTGGTCCAAGATATCCAGTCCTTCTTCATAGACAGATTGAATTTGTGTGACATTGGGTATAAGTAAGTGGACCTGAGGACATGTGGGCTTCTTTCACCTCAGAGCAGACTCTGAACCTTTGAATGGCAAAGAAAGGAATGTTTACTGAGTGCCTGCTATAGGAGAGGTGCTCCACGTATGAACATGTTGATCTTTCACACAACCCTAGGTGAGCCTTACTTAGGATATAGATAAGGGGGTGGTGGTTTTCCTTGAACATATTCTCAAAATGTGTCTTTTTTAAGTTTATTTATATATTTTGAAAGAGAGAGAGAGCGAGAGAGAGAGTGAGAGAGCAAGCATGAGTGCAAGTGGGGGAGGGGCAGAGAGAGAGGGAGAAAGAATCTCAAGCAGGCTTTCCACTGTCAGCAGAGCCCATCAAGGGGCTGGATCCCATGAACCATGAGATCATGACCTGAGCTGAAATCAAGAGTCTGATACCTCACCAACTGAGCTACCCAGGTGCCGCTCAAAATGTGTTGTTTTTAAAGACTGTATGTAGATACGGTGGAGGTCAAGACTGCTGGAAAGATATTAGAGAAAGCCATACACATGCAAGATTGTGAAGCCTGTAGAGAATATCTTCCCTGTCTGAAGGCAGGGGGAGGCACAAGATAATATTCTCTGATTGCTCTAATGCCAAGGTCTATAATCCTTTAATAAAGAGCACACTGACCTAATGGGAGAATAGAAACTTCTTGCAGCATGCTCTCCAAGTTCACAGATAAGATAGATGTATGGGGTTAGACACCGTCTCATATCCATCAGAAATAATCACAGAGTGTTAAGTCTCAGGATGAACCACCACTAGCCTAGATAGCATATTTGTACACATTAATCAAAGAAGCCCTTCCTCTAGAGGCTTCATGGATTAGCTAGTGGAGCTGGATTTTAGTCCTTCCTTGCCTCCTGGCCAGGCACTCTGTGCAGGGTGCAAGAAACGTAGCTGTGTGCAATGGCCCTGCCTTAGCTAGATTTACCATTACTTAATATGTAATTATGGGGTGATGGCCTCTCCTTCCTCCATCCTGTTATAGATGCATCTCTTTCAAGATAGGAGAAAGCTTCCTCTGACACCTTTCACCTATGAAGATTTGCCAAGTGCTTTTCTAGATCCTGCAGTGCAGCGTTATTCACAGGCTGTTCTCTTTGATTATAATAGATACCTGAATATTGACTCTTTATTTTGAACCTAAACTGGAAAATGATGTGTGCTGAGAGAGGACCTTTCCTTTTTCCCATTCAGGTTTCAGTAGCCAGTTTCCTGTCCCTTGGCTTTGACCTTTATTGTATACCCTGTGCCATAACTTTCATGACCCTACCACTTGGTCATCTTGAGATAATCTGTAGTCAGGAGTAAACACCCACTTGCTATAAATTAATTCACTGAGAACACGATTGAGTGCCTACTCTGTGTGGCATGAGGCTATGCTCTGGGGACACTAGCAAATGTAGCACAGATATGGTTCTTGACTTGATGGAGATAGCACTGCTGAAGGAGAAAGATAATTAAATGAATAAAGCCCAGTAGAGTACATTAAGTGTTATGATAAAGGGTGCAGAGTGTTAGCACCTTTTGTTAGCTTCCTGGAGGATTGGGTATGGGGACAGCACTACTCAAGAGGTAACATCAACTGGGACCTAAGAAATGAGTGAGCTTGACAGAGGAGGGGGAAGAGTGTTTTGGGCAGAGAGAAAGGACCTCTGTGGAGGGTCCTGGATGCCAACCTGAGAATGGTGTCTTTGAGAAACTGAGAGAAGTTTATCATAATAAAAATAGATGCTTGGATGCCTTGGAGGTTCAGTCAGAGTGTCAGACTTTGGCTCAGATCACCATCTTGCAGTGTGTGAGTTCAAGCCCTGCATTGGGCTTGCTGCCATCAGCGCAGAGCCTGCTTCCTTTCTCTCTCCCTCTCTCTCTGCCCCTCCTCTGCTTGCATTCTCACTCTCTCAAAAATAAACATTAAAAAATTAAAAAATGATAAAAACAGATGCCAAAGAGAGGGATGGTGGAAGGTAAGGAGGCAGACAAGGGCGTGCATTATGAGGGATCTTGTCACTTGAGCTGCGGAGTTTGGACTGTGTGCCAAGGGCCTAAAAGCAGGTTTGAGATAAGATTTGTATCAGGAAGTCCACTCACAACTTCAGGAATTGAACAGAAAAGGGCAAATCTGCAGGTGGCGAGATCAATTGAAAGAAGACCAGGGTGGTGACGTGGCTGTCATGGGGAGAAGCAGAGAGATCTAAGAAGTCAGTAGAGATTAGTGGTGGGTGATGAGGATGCCAGGGTTGATCAAGGACAGTGGTTGGGAGAGGCAGTGGAGAAGCCATGGTTAACTGAGGGATGAAGCAGTGGACTCACGCTCACCTTCCTGCCTGGGACCTGTGGGAGGATGGATGGTGGTACCTTTCACTAAGTGGGGAGCCTGGAAAGGAGAACTGGTGGGGAAGAAGGTGGTCTGGGTGTGGACACATACATTTTCCTAGATGGCAGTTGAAGATAAGGAGGTAATGGCCTTGTCTTGGGCAGCATCCTGAGGAACCCCACATTTAAGGAAAGGACACAGGGAGATGAGGTACAGAGGAATGAGAGGCAGCCAGAGAAGACCACTGGGAGAGTGGGGTGCGATAGAAGTAAAGGGGAGAGAATGAGGGTGCAGAAGGATCAGGCAACGCAGGGCTGGAGAAGGGTACTTTGTCTGTAGTGGTAAGGCGGCCACAGATCACCTCTGGGGAAACATTGTCATTGGCAAGGTATGAGGAAAGCAAGTTGGAGGGATGGCAGCTGTCACTCTTCCTAGACTGTGAGCGCCTTGGGGCAGCAGCAGTGTGCTAGAGCTGGATGGGCTCATGAGACGGGATTGTTGAAGAGTCAGAAATTTTGTGAACCTTTGTTAAATCACTGGTGGATTAAAATCAGCCGTGGTACGAGCTTTACACCACAGAATCAATAAAGGGAATAATCAGGGCTTCCTGCCCTTCACCCTTTCTGATGAAAGCTGGTTTACCACCACCTCTGACAAAGACTGTCTTTTTTGTAACTCAGTGCTTAGAATTTAATGACTAATAAGTGTCTGCTAAGTAGAGGCATGAGTGATCGAATGAATGAGTGAATGAATAAATGAAACAATCCCAGAATGCCTGTCTGTCATGCTGATCTCCTTCTCCCATTATGGTCCTTTAGCTTCCTTGTAGGGCAGGATGGTGTCATTTATGAAGGAGTGGGCTGGAATGTCCAAGGCTCCCGTGCTCCCGGCTACAATGACATTGCCCTGGGCATTGCCTTCATGGGCACCTTCTTGGGTAAGTGCTTTGGGCAGTGACAATGACCTCTCATCGTATGGTGTCTGAAAGAGTGCATCTCATATGGAAGACAACAGCATCAAACTCAGGCATCACTTCAGACTCTGTGTATGCTGGACTTCCCATGCTTCAGATTTGAGGTTTGACAAAGCTAAATTTGACCAGGAATGACCCCCCCAGCCATAATGCCCACACACACCCAACCAAATGCCTCTCTCTTCTGACATCAAAGGTATATATAAGACAAGGGGAAAATACCTTTGTGCATATTTTTTGCGAAGTTTTTACGATGGCAACAATGTGGGGACCCTTGCCTTACTTGCCACAGCCCTGAATGAGTCCCTGTCTCTGCATCCAAAGTATACACTAAGAATTGTCATTGCTCAGAGCTCTTGACCAGAGTTTGTTTAGACTCAGAGAGCTTTTGCTGAACCTCTGGGAAGAGGAAACCATGTCACTAGGGACTAATTGAGGCTGATACTAAAATGGACATTGAGTGGGGTGAGGGGTGACCCAGGAAGGTACCTATAGATGGGGCTGGGCATGGGAAGGTGCCGGAAGCATAGCTGTGGCCAAAGCAAGGTTTCTCAGTCTCAGCACTATTGACATCTTAGATCAGGTCATTCTTTGTAGAGGGGCTGCCGTGTGCATTGTAGGACATTTAGCAGCATCCCTGGCTTCTACCACCAGATGCTTATATCACTATTTGCCTAGCTGTGACAACCAAAAAATGTCTCTACACAGTGCTAAATATCCTATGGGAGACTAAATTTCCCCAGTAGGGAACTACCAGGCTAAATATATACAGCAGACAAGGGCTCTGTACATCCCCAAACAATTGTATATTTTATCTCAGGCTCTGCTACCGTCATTTGGAAAGAACTCTGGTGCTGAGGAATCTGAGTCTTGGTTTTCTGTCTATCGGGTGTCAATAGTGGAATATATTATCTTGGTTGTAGGGTATCCAGGAATGGGTCTTCCCTAGAAAGGATGCCTTGGAATTCTAGAACAGATGGCTAATTCTGTTTTGTAGGTACCCCACCGAATGCCGCAGCCCTGGAGGCAGCCCAGAACCTGATCCAGTGTGCAGTGGACAAGGAGTATTTAACTCCCAACTACCTGCTGGTGGGGCACAGTGATATTGTCAATACACTGTCTCCTGGGCAAGCTTTGTACAACATCATAAAGACTTGGCCTCATTTCAAACACTGAAGGAGCCCCTGCTCCTTCTCAGACTGCTTCTCCCACCTGGCTGCTGGGCCTCCCCTGTCCTCACCCCCCATCCTGACTCAACACCTGGTGTCCCCTCCAAGTCAGCCCCATCCTGTCCCTCCTTTCTCAGGTTAGGATGCTCCTCTCCTGCTAGCACCACCCCCCAGCAGCCCCAAACCCCGGAGCCGGGCATAGCCAGCCCTCTGAGTGAGCCCCACTGTCCTCACCCCTCACCTTCCCCTCCCCTGGGCTCCCAGCTGCTAAGCCAGGTGGGAAGATGGGCTGATCCTGGTTTGGCTTCTCTTCCCTTTCCGGCTGCCCCTCTGCCCCATGTACCTTCCCCTGCCAGCTTCCCAGCAGCCCCCAAGCCGCACACAGGACCCAGGTCAAGGCCCAAAACCCCTCTCTGCTCACACACCCACTTGTGCGCATGTGAACGCAGCCCTTATTTCAGGGCTCATTGCTTACAGGTGTGCTTGTTCTCTCCACTGGATTGTGAGGGTTCCCGGGTTCATGTGCCCCCATGTCCTTGATCCCTCAGCAGCGTCTGGAGTCTTGTATGTGCTACAGATGTTTGTTGGAGAGGTGGAGGAATAAACAAATGTGTGAGTAGAGTCCCTGCTTCTCTTTCCAGTCTGTTCCGCCATCCCCTCTCTTTGGGGACACCTTCTGGGGCTGTTCCCCATCCTGCCATTTTCTCTGTTCTTGCCCCTCCCAGTCTGAGGCTCCGAGCCAGCTCTGGCCACTTGACTGGAATGGTTGCTGTGGCTCTAGGGTCCTGTGTCCTGTCCTCCCCAAGCTCCCCGAGGGCAGAGACAGTACTCCTCCAGGCCCAGCGGGGCGGTGTCCACACAAGCCACCTGTGCCTGCACCTTAAACTGATGCTCATGGATGAAAACTGTAAACTAATATCTCAAACCCCATGCTAAAAATATCAAGATAATGATGTAAGATATGGAAGGAATTAATTAGAAGTATAAAAGTATAAAATCAGTCAATAGAACTCAGGAGAGAATAAGAACTACAATAATTCAGAATTTCCATTTCAGAAATGATCAGTTAAATGATGAATGCTGAGGTGTATTAAAGGAATGGATTTTAAGGGAAAACTTTGCTTTGGCCATTCAGAGAAAAAAAAGAAAAAAGTGATTAATAAGAGAAAGAAGCAGGTCATCAAACTTTTGAACAACACTTTAGGCTAGGAAAAAATAGAACGATATTTTATTTATTTTTTAATGTTTTTATTTTATTTCAGAGAGAGAGAGCGAGCATTCGAGAGGGGGAGGGGCAGAGAGAGAGGGAGACACAGAATCGAAAGCAGGCTCCAGGCTCTGAGCTGTAAGCACAGAACCTGATGTAGGTCCTAGGTGCCCCAATAACATTTCAATAATAGGAGAGAAATGTGGGATGACCCAGGGATTTTATATTCAACCAAATTGACTTTCAAGTACAAAGGTCACAGACAACTCATCAACACATAAGAACTCTGGGGATACCATCCCATTAGTCCTTCCTTAGGAATCTCCAAGAGAATGGCCTCCAATAACCAAAATAAGACACAGGGGTAACAGCCAGAGCTAAGCATCTAATGCATATGGATTTATAAGTGAGGACTACTGGAGGATTATTAGAGAGCCAGGACAGTTTTCATGTGTTTGAGCTGCAAGGAGCATATATGACAGAAGTGCAAAAAAGTGAGAAAATAAGGAGGTCATCTGCAAATTTGTTTCCAAACTATTTTAGCGATTATATCATTGGTGATATTATTGGTACTCTTTTCAGAAAGCTTACTGTGAGATGTGGGGTTCAAAAAAATGAGTAATTATGTGATCTTGTAATTCCACCATCCCCAGTATTTTTGAAAGCAAGATACCACGGTAGGGAAAGGCGGCATATGTTAACACAGAAGAAGTTAAGTAATATACCATAGGCTTGTATTTGAATTGAAAACATCTGGATGAGGAGTTCCTTATAGATATTGGATACTAGCCCTTTATCTGATATGTCATTTGCAACTATCTTTTCCCATTCCGTCAGTTGCCTATTAGTGTCCTTTATTGATTTCCTATTATTGATTGTCCTTTGCTGTGCAGAAGCTTTTATCTTGATGAGGTCCCAATAGTTCATTTTTGCTCTTGATTCCTTGCCTTTGGGGATGTGTCAAGGAAGAAATTGCTGCGGTTGAGGTCAAGGAGTTTTTTTCCTTTCTCTTCTAGGATTTTGATGGTTTCCTGTCTCACATTCAGGTCCTTTATCCATTTTGAGTTTATTTTTGTGTATGGTGTGAGAAAATGATCTAGTTTCATTCTTCTGCATGTTGCTGTCCAGTTCTCCCAACACCATCTGTTAAAGAGGCTGTCTTTTTTCCATTGGATACTCTTTCCTGCTTTGTCAAAGATTAGTTGGCCATACATTTGTGGGTTCAATTCTGAGTTCTCTATTCTATTCCGTTGGTCTATGTGTCTGTATAGACCATATACCAGTATACCATACTATCTTGATAATGACAGCTTTGTAGTAGAGGCTAAAGTCTAGGATGGTGATGCCTCCTCCTGTTTTGGTTTTCTTCTTCAATATTACTTTGGCTATTCAGGGTCTTTTGTGGTTCCATACAAATTTTAGGATAGTTTGTTCTAGTTTTGAGAAGAATGCTGGTGCAATTTTGATTGGGATTGCATTGAATGTGTATGTAGATTGCTTTGGTAATTCAGTGAAGAAATGGGCAGAAGACATGAACAAACACTTCTCCAAAGAGGACATCCAGATGGCCAACAGACACATGAAACGATGCTCAGTGTCCCTCATCATCAGGGAAATACAAATCAAAACCACAGTGAGATACCACCTCACGCCGGTCAGAGTGGCTAAAATGAACAAATCAGGAGATTCTAGATGCTGGTGAGGATGTGGAGAAATGGGCACCCTCCTACACTGTTGGTGGGAATGTAAACTGGTGCAACCCCTCTGGAAAACAGTGTGGAGGTTCCTCAGAAAACTAACAACATAACTCCCCTATGACCCAGCAATAACACTGCTAGGAATTTACCCAGGGGATACAGGAGTACTGATGCATACGGGCACATGGACCCAAATGTTCATTGCAGCTCTCACAACAGTAGCCAAAACATGGAAAGAACCTAAGTGTCCATCAACTGACTAATGGATCAAGAAGATGTGGCATATTTATACAATGGAATACTACATGGCAATGAGAAAGAATGAAATCTGGCATGTGTAGCAACATGGATGGAACTAGAGGGTTTATGCTGAGTGAAATAAGTCAGGCAGAGAAGGACAAATACCATATATTTGCACATATAGGTGGATTAGGAGGAAGTTAACAGAGGACGAAGCGGGAGAAGAAGGGGGAAAAATAGTTGGGGAGAGGGAGGGAGGCAAACCATGAGAGACTCTTGAATGCTGAGAACAAACTGAGGGCTGAGGGGAGTGGGGGAGTGGGGAAGGGGGGTGATGGGCATGGAGGAGGGCACTTGTGAGGATGAGCATGGGGTGTTATATGGAAACCAACTTGACAATAAACTATTTAAGGAAAAATAAAAAATAGAAAGTTTTTTTTTGTATGAAATTTGCTCATTAGGGTAAATTTTAATGGATCTAATACAGACGTTTTTAAATCAATTCATAAATATAAAATGCACACTATTAACATTAAAAAAACATCTGGAAGGCAGCTATGCTCACTACTATACCACCAATGCCCACTGAAAAAAGAAAACATCTGGATGAGCTCATGAAGTACTGGTAAAACTATGAGGTGTTTCATCTTAAAATTTTTCTTTGCCATTGCCCGCTGAAGATGCCTAGAAACTGATCAAGTAGCAATATGTTAGCATCCTGACTCTGAGCTTAAAGTACTATTTTCCAATAAAAGAAATCAAAGTTTCTTGGAGAAATGACTGGTTCCAGGTCTGGGATAGGAAATATACATTTTCTCATATCAGATAGTGATAAAACAATAAAATGTTTCTCAGACTGGGTCAAAAATTTTTGAGAGATACCCACTGCTTGATGAGAGAATTTGAATAATATCTACTCAGTGGGATGATTTGAGAATTGACAGCAACAGTTACTGCAATGCGTCTGGGCTTCTTAATTTTAAATCCACAAATTCATTATGATTCAAAAGGCCTAACTGGTTATCTTTGAAAAATCCCAGAAGACCATCTGTATTCACTTTCTCTTCTAACTGAAGTATTATTGACATATAGTATTATATTAGTTTCAGGCATTTAATATGGCAATTTGATAATTCTATACATTAATTATGTTGTGCTCATCCTGATAAGTAGTTATCATCTATCACCATACAGTGTGATTACAGTATTCTCTGTGCTGTATTTTTCATCCTGTGACTCATTTATTTTATAATTGGAAGTGTATACCTCTTAATCTTCTTCACCTAATTTGCCCATCCCCCACCCCCTCTCTTCTGATGACCACCACTTTGTGCTCTGTATTTATGGGCCTGTTTCTGTGAATCCATGTCTTTATTTGAAAACCTGTAAAAAGAGAGAGAGAGAGAGAGAAATAAAGGACCTATTCTGCTCTTCCTATACAAAGTATAGGAATGAATGACCAAATAGTAAAGAAACTAAACGAAGATGGTCTTGTTAGTTTTGTTCCCATGTCGGGTGTGAATTTTCTGGCATTTGGTGACCTATAAGGCACAAGCCAGTTATTGACCCACATAGCGTTCTTTAGCACTGATCTTTCAGTGTGATTACATAAAAAACGCTGCTGGACATGGGTTACCCATGATGGGAGAAGGGTCTGAGACCTACAGGCAGCTCAGAGTGTGCCCATCACTTCAGACAGTGTGGGAGAATTGTTTAGATCCTGGTTCCTGAGGCTAAATTCACACATTAATTCTCTCAGTTCACTTATATGTCAAGTGAAGATGATAATAGGACACCTTGGGGCTTGGGTAGTTTGAGAAGGGATGAGAATTTTCATTGCAAATAAAAACTTAGGACACTGAAAACAAACTAATGAATCAAAATGTCAAAATGTCTTTACTTAAAGGTGAGCATTTTGCTTTTGGAGAGGCAAAAAATTCAGTTTTTATCTCTAGAGGTCATGGAGTGAGGAGAAAGAGACAGACGATTGACTCAGTCCCCTGACTTCTCATGAGGAGAGACCCAGCCATGGGGGCCAGACCACAAGATATTCTGGACTCCACTGGTCATGGCACTGTGAACCTTGAAGTATTCTGTGCTGTTATCTCTTTACCATTTTATGAGTTCAGGTTTACTTGCTACTACCAGCAGAACACACCCCGATCCTGTCTGTGTACATGGACCTCCCCTCTCCTGCACAGAGGATCCATGGCTGGAGAAGAGTTACAGGCTGGAGAAGAGTTACAGGCTGTCAGGGGTGGATCTTAAGTCTAGCCTGATGAAGAATAAATTCCAACCCTCTGCCTCTTCATGCTCTCCCTTCATCCCATGTCTGCTTCCAGAGTACTTTCTGTAACCTCAATATATTATGTTATGATTGTCTGCAAACTCCATGACACTGTCCAACACCATCACTGTCTATACATTCTGCCTTGTCTTTTGTTTATCCCAAGGTCTCAGCATACTCTTCATGACCTAAAGGTGTCTTCAGACCAGGGCCCTACCCTTTGGGCTCCGTCCAGATCAAGATCTGATTATCCCCGTGGCCTCCAGGCTGCTTTGACATTCATGCTGAGAACACTTCTGTTGTCTTGCTTTCTTAAACCTTATCAACTCCACATGCCTTCTCCTGATTTCACCCCATTTCTCACTAGTCACAGAGCTCCTCATCTCTGGGGACTACATCCACTGCCAAATTGAGAGTCCTGACAATTCCTTTTATATTCCCGATCTCTGGTACTTCTAACAATTCCCTTTCCCAACATTTCATTACATTGTTGAGTCTAAGCATGAAACTACAGGGATATAGTTTTTAGCTTATTTAATATTTTAATTTTAATTTCAGTTCCTGACATAGTAACCCATTCCTGGCCTCCTCATTCCTCCTTGTAATTCCCTAACTTATATATCACTTTACAGACAAGATGGATCTTCATATTTCACCTCATTGTCATCATTATTATTGGTGTTTGAGTCAGTGTCCCACACTATATTATTAACTCCTTGAAAGTGAATTTGATTCTTGTTTTAACTATACTTGGATAATGATTTTTACCTAGAGTAAATTCCTTATAATTGTGTGCAAATTAATTGAATGAATGTGATTTTTTTAATTTTTAGTGTTTTTTTTTTTAAAGTAAACTCTACCCCCAGGTAAACTCTACTCAAAATCACAAGTCCCATGCTCTACCAACTGAGTCAGTCAGGCACCCCAATAAGATGATTTTGATTTGAAGGTGTGACATAGCCAAAATACAATAATACTGCAAATACGTATAGAATACTTAAGAGTTCTCCTCAAAAGATACTAATATTTTTTCTAGCAAATTCTGTGGTACTTTTTCTCTGAAACCTTTAAACTTGGTAGTCATGAATGATCTGAAATCTTTTGATAGCCCTAATATTTTTTTATATTAAGAATGTAACATCTACCTTTCATTTTGTACAAGTCCTTAGAGCTCCCCTCTTCTTGCTAGATGGAATGCTACCTGATTTGAGGATCATTTAATAAAGCCAGTTAGGTCTTCAAGTGTACTCAGATGAATTTTTTTTTTTTTTTTTTTAACAGAGCCCAGTGTGTAGAACATAGATTCATCCAAGTAGAATCTCAAGTGGGCAGTGTGCTTTTCAAGATCTCTGGTCTGAGTAGTCACATTTCAGGTGACTGCAACTCAAGTACCCTTGGCAGAGAATGACAGGAAAGTCTTATCTATAGATCTCTCCAGAGAAGATCCCTCCTCAGAGAAGGGGATTCTGGGAGACCAGAGCTGAAGACTGAGATGACTGTCAGGAGTGAGTGAAGAGGTGGAGAGCTTTGATTTATAGGATGCTTCTTAAGGTATTTGTTTCAGTTTGATACTGAGGTGGAGGTAGTGGATGCATGGTCCACCTGGCCACAGAGTCAAAGAAGGTCTAATAATGATGGCACATTGTGCGCTGCCTCCTGGAATGTAGCTTTTTATTTCTTTGCCCCCATCCTACCCCTGCTGGTGGCCCAGGTGGTATAGGCAGGATAGCGTGGGGTGTTGTTGAATGACTTCCATCTACAGCCTTGACAATCCTGGAGCAGATCTGCCTCCAAGGTAAAAAAGTCCCCAGATGATGGGTTGGCTGGGCTTTCCAGAGGCTGGGGATTAGGAAACAAGCTCAGGGAGCCTTGGGCAATCATGTCCTTTCCCAGGGAGGCGGTACTTGGGCTTATTCACAGGGTGAGGCCTTGCTCTCAGCTTGAGTCTGGTCTCTCCCAATTACTTTGGTTGCCCTGCTTCTCAGTTCTGCTGAGAGCCTCAGAACTCTGCCCCCTCTCTACTTTCTATTAGGAATCTAGGTGTTCTTCTTTTCTCCAGAAAGCCAGGGCCCAACTGCTCCCTTACAGGGAGGGAGTGCCCTCTGGTGAGAGGCATCCTGACGGCCTGGGAGGTGGCTGCTGGAGAAGGAGGGCAGGGCCAGAAGCCAAGTCTGAAGGAAGGAATTGCCAGCTAATAAAGGGGGGGCCACCTGCACCCTGACCTGTGGAGCTGGGACAGCACGGGACCCACAGGTATTTCTGAGTATGGCTGTGAGTGTGTCTCTTGTTGAGAAGCCCTCTCCCTTGGAAGGGACTGGACTCTATCTAGTTAAAATGTTAACAAGGTAGAGAAAGTTCCTTGATCTTCCTTCTTGAACTCTTCCCCCAAATAAAAAAATTTCTATTTTAAATTCTAAATGAGTTTAGTTCAACCATGCCTGGGTCTTTCTTGCCAAGGTTGTGGGTCCTGGAGTTAACTCTACTCAATTTCTTTCCTTTCTGTCTAGCTCTGAATCCCTATTGGTTATGTCTCACTTGGCCCCTGTTCTATTGCATCTCAATTTTAAGGATACAGAATGCAGAGCAGTGTGAACCAAGGCCGATGAACCCTGACACCAGGCAATCCTGCCATCTCAGTGTTTGTGATTGGAGATAGGGGTGGGAGGTGCTACTAGTCTCTGCCCTGGTGTGATGAGGGGCTGGGCTCAAGCCTTGCAATTTCAGCTGTGTGATATGACATGCTCAGGACAGCATTTGCCACCTAAACACTTATGGTTGGGAAAGTACAATGAGCAAGTGACCAGGATCCAAAGCTCCTGTTGACCAGAATTGATTGCTGGTTTCTAAATAGCTTTGCAAAAGGCCAACTTGTTTTCTGGGAGGCCAGCCACAGGGCTTCCATACTGGACAAATTAATCCTTACTTCTCATTTGGCTAAAAAGGAAGGCTGAACACTTTCCCACATGCTTATTAGGTACCTGCTGTCATCTGCAGTGGGCTCATTTCATCCTCAGTGACAGTTTTTCCCAAATGAATGGAGTCCTGGGTGTTACTCACCAAGAGATTGCTTGTTCTTATCCAGGAAGCTTCTATATGCTCAGGTCTTAAACTATGGTTCTAAACATTTTCCATCTGGGGAGAATTGATTATAATATGAAAACTCTGGAGGGTAATGCTATACCTCATTTTATCTGAAACTTCCCTCTATCATTTCTCAGTAGGATAACCAGGAGAAAAGTTGATGTTTTGGTTGTCATCTTAGGGAACTGGTATTTCATTTTGATTGAGCATAAACAAGCAATTCATTCCTTTCCAAGAGATCCAGAAAGATTCCTGCAGTCAGAAAGGACCACAGGGATCCTGGGGTTTAACCTCTTGGGCCCACGTTGAGAATCTCCAGCATCAGAAACTTGGATAGACTGTGGGGAAATTCCAGGCAGAAGCTGTGGAGTCATATCTGGGTATGAATCCTGATCTGCACTACTGGTTGGGTAACTTTGGGCAAGAGCTGTTAGCACCCTCACCTTTACTGAGCACCTGCTGAGGGTCAACCTCTGTGCTGGAGACCCTGAGACCCCTAGGCAGGTGCTGGCTCTCAGTTTGGTAGAGAAGCAGGCAGAGGTGCCATGCAGTGCCCTGTCTGAGTAGTGAGCACAGCTGGATTAACTGTCAGCATCTTTCCCAGGGCCAAGCTCCACACTAACCCTGTTGGCACCCTGGAACCACATGAGGATGCTGCTGTTGCTTCTTATCTTCTCTGCTCAGGATTTCCAGGTCGGGGGTGAGTTTTCTTTTATTGGTTCAGAAGTGCTTTTGGTACTATTTGTAAGTTATCCTCTTCATCGCTCATTGATTGCTCCTTCTGGCCAGTCCTTTCTCCCCATTAGTGCCTAGCTCAGGTGTCCCCTGCCCTGCTGAGAGTGGCTCCAGTCCTCAGTAGTCTCCCCAGCCTGCCCAGCACACCTTGGTCTTAGTGTCATGGTCATAATTTGCTCCTGTTGATTTCACAGAAGGACAGAATGGAGACCCTTAGTGACCTTGACTTATAGACAAAGATACAAGCTGGGCTCCATTGCAGCAGTGACTTATCCAAGGTCATCTGACAGCTTTGGGGATGCCACTGAGTATAGTGGCAGTGAATGCAGCTTGGGTCAGACAACCTAGGTTTGAATCCAAGTCCATGGCTTAACCGCATATCATCTTAGACAAGTAACTTAACCTCTCTGAGCCTTAGTTTCTCCTTTGTGTTGAGGGAGTAGTTAATTTTCTTTGCCTATCACATATACTTGTTTTAAGCCACAAATCTGATAAGACTCTTGAAAGTGCTTTGTAAACTACAGAGCTGGCCTGTGGGAGGTGATGTAGGTGACACTACTGCTATAGATTTTTCTCCTATGATCTCTGGTTCTGAACAGGCAGAAGAAGCATGTTGATGATGACTAATCCTTAATTAATCTTATCTCAAAAATCTAGTTTGTTAGGACAGTCACAACAATCTGCAAATTTCTGTATTTCAAGAACCTTATCTGGATCAATACATGCTTGATACATGTGTCATGTTACCACCAAATAATGATGACCACCTTGATATATGACCCTCTGATCTGAGCATAGGTATGTAGGTGAGCCAGGAGAACTAGAGCTGCTCAGACGAGGGGGCAGGAGAGATGGCAGTGGCCCTGGAATGGAGGGAATTTGGGAGGGGATAAAGACCTCATTGGGACAGATGTGAGAGGGAGAGGTGGGGTGAAGCCAGAAGCATCTGTAGTTCTCGTTTGTGTTGTATCCTAGAAGATGTCAGGGAACTTGGGGGAGTAGAGAGGCTGTGGGCTTTGGGGTGGGGATGTCAAGTCCATGCTTCTTCACTGGTCCAGGTATTTTCCGAGGTCCAGCACTAAGTGTAATTTTCCTTTGCAGGGGATTCCCCACTGTTCTCCTGGAATGAAACCCAAGCCAGCGGATTGTCAGAGGGGCTTCTGGACTTGTTTGTTGGCATCTCTCAGCTCATTCACAAGAGTCGAAATGGTGAGGTGTTTTGGGGTTAGCTCCGGTGGCTAGCAGTGTTTCTCAGGACTTAATTATGCCTGGGCTGGGTTGATAGGTGGCATTGAATCCCACAAGGCTCATCTGCCAATGACTCCCATAGATTGTCCTGACTCCTCAGGCAAAGGTGGATTCCAGGAAGGAGGGAAAGCCCAGGGACCAAGAACAAGGCCCCCAGTCCCCAGCTGTCAGTAGAAGAATAGAGACACCCTATCCCTCAGAAAGCTCCCAGGTGCTTCCAACATGAAGATAGTAAATGAGCCCTCAGGGCCTGGGGTCCTGTGTGGGTCTCTCAGCCCTGCCCACAGTGCATTTTCACATGGAAGAAAGACAGGTACCTTGACACTCAGGGAACTTCCTAAGGGCTCTAATCTGAGGAGTGAGGTAGAGCTTTCCTCAGAGAGTCACCATTCTGAGGGGAGGCCCAGACAAAAGACAGGTCAGAGACCCAGGGCAAGTGCCAGTGAGGACAATGCATTCATACTGAGGTGCATTAAGAGATGGCAGCCCAGAGCCCCCATTAGCACAGAGTGTCACAGGGGCTGCCTTCAGGAGGTGAGGAGTGCACAGCAGGCCAGGGTGGGGCCGAGGGGGATTTGTCCTTAGGATATACAATGAGGGAGTATATGAAAAACAAGACAGCTTTACTTTTGAGGCTGGTAGAGTCTGCATGGGGACTGGTTTTAGCTAGAACAGGGTATGGACGTGGGGAGGGGACGCTGTGGGTGGTGATGGCCTCCAGGGGACTCTCCCAGGCCTGCAGAAGGAATAATAGTTCCTGCGATATGTATGCATCCTGTGGTCCCCTTGCAGAAGCTCCCACCATTGTCTCCCGCAAGGAGTGGGGAGCAAGGTCACTGACCTGCAGGGCCCAGCTGACCCCACCTGTGGCCTATGTCATCACAAACCAGCTCACAGGGATGGAGTGCCAGGAGCAGGATGTTTGCAGCCAGAGGCTTCGGGGCCTTCAGTCCCATTCTGTCTACACCAGAGGCTGGTGCGATGTGGCCTACAAGTAAGAGAATGGGTGGGTCCTCGAACCACATTCAAGTCTGCCTCTCAGGGGGCCACCCAATTTCCCTTGTCTAGTTTCCTACCATCCCACTCGTGTTGTTCTTATAATGAGTAAAAAATGTTAAAACAAATGAACAAAATCCAGAATCCTCAGAGGCATTTAGGAGGGTTGGCTCTGAGCCATTTATTCACAGGTGGCCTTGGACACCGGAGGGGCCCCAGAACATGTAAGGGAGGTTGTGTAGTAACTACAGTTGCTCTTGGAGGCCCCAGAACATCACAGTTTACAAAGATCTTCATAAACATTACCTAGGCCCTCCCATCCACTCTGAGGAATGAGAAACATCACCACCCCCATGTCAAAGGTAAGGGTGCCATGATTAGACAATGCAGAGAATTTGTTCAGTTAGGGAGGGTGGAACTAGAACTGTTCAGAGTGCCTGCTGCTCCAGCAGTCTACACACAGGCAGTGAGCAGCACTCTCCCACGGGGTTCCTTCCTTGGAAAGCCACCTCCCACTGAGGTCCGATCGATCATATGGGGAGTGGTGGTGGGGACTGAGAGGGGAGAACCCCATGTTAAAACAAGTGTGAGGTATGGAGAGGTCCTTAGAATTATCAGTGGAGACCCAGAACCTCTTCTTTTCCCCTTAAAATGAGGATAGGAGCACCTGGGTGGCAGTTCAGCATCTGACTTGTTTTCAGCTCAGGTCATGATCTCATGGTTTGTGAGATGGAGCCTTGAGTCATTGGGGAGCCTGCTTGGGATTCTCTCTCTTCCTCTCTCTCTGCCCCTCCCTATGCGCACACACACACACTCTCCCTCAAAATAAATAAAAATAAACTTAAAAAAATTTTTAAGGGAAGACGTGTATATAGGCACACATAATCTCCAGTTTGTACTGTTGCCATAAGTGGCTGTTCACATTAGACTAATGAAAGGCTGCTGCAGAGTGGCAGACGCACCTACTGAAAGTCTGGGCAGCAAAGTCTGCCCAGATCAGTGGACATACGGAGGCCCCAGCTGACCCCCAGGCCACATCAGTGCAGTGCAGGAGGTGGGCTCACTTTCATTCAGGGCCTTCAGGCAACCTCGAGAAAGTGTTCTTTCTGTGCTCCATATGCTGTGGAAACTCAGTCTATGAAAACTAGAATGTGGCAAGAGCAGTGAAAGCATAATTTCTGGAGTGTGGTTGGGAAGTGGAGGGTAAGAAAATTATAGAGAGACAGAAAAGTGGGAGGAAGTAGAACAAAAGAATAGATACATTGGTTTTAAAAGAAACTGGAAAAAAGGAATATTCTAAACAAATTTTTGTGATAGGGAAGAGCTTACAGGTATTCCTAAGGAGAAACTGAAGGAAAAGCCAATATTAAGGGATTCCTGAATTCCAGTTGTTTATTTTAAGTGTTTATGTGCTTTCTCCTATAATTTAAAAATAGGATGGATGAATTTTCATTGCCCTGGGAAAGTGTTGAAATAATTTCCTCAGGTGTTTAAGAGTCACACATTTGAATTCCACTTTGAACCAACCTATTATTTTTTTTAATTTTTAAAAAATGTCTATTTACTTTTGAGAGAGACAGAGCGTGAGTAGGGGAGAGGCAGAAAGAGAGAGAGAGATGGAGGGAGACACAGAACCTGAAGCAGGCTCCAGGCTCTGAGCTGTCAGCACAGATGCGGGTTCGAACCCATGAGCTATGAGATCATGGCCTGAGCCGAAGCCAGACATTTAGCTGACTGAGCCACCCTGGTGCCCCAGAACCAAGTTAAGTATTTTTATTTATCTATTTATTTATTTAGATTTTTTAGATTTTATCAAATATATATAAAAGGGTTTTATTTTTAAATTATATATTTTTAACATACTTGAAGTTCTGTCCTTTGCAACAATTTAAACATACAATAAAAGTACTTGTCAACTTGGAAGGTACATGGTTTTCCAAGATTATTTTAGAAGGTAAAAAGCAAATTATTGAAAACTACTGTATTTTCCCACAGTAAATTCTATTCAATAATTATTTTTAATAGTTCATTGTCAAATTGGTTTCCGTATAACACCCAGTGCTCATCCCCACAAGTGCCCTCCTCTATGCCCATCACCCCACTTCCCCTCTCCCCCACCCCATCTGCCCTCAGTTTGCCAACTAAGTATTTTTAAAGTGAGGTTTTGGGAAACACATGTAAGTTAAGTCACAACGTAATTTAAAGTATATTCCCACATCTCTTAGAAATCTAAAAGGGTTATTTATGTCCCAATGTTAGGTACTTAAAGCGTAGTACTTATTGATGAGCCTCTAGAACCCTTTTCCACTGTAAGGGTGGGTGAGAGGTCTTCTTTAATTTACATTAAATACATGTTCCCTTGCTCTGCAGCTTCCTGGTTGGAGACGACGGCAGGGTGTATGAAGGTGTCGGCTGGGACATCCAAGGCGTGCACACCCAGGGCTACAACAACATCTCCCTGGGAATCGCCTTCTTTGGCAATAAGATTGGTAATGGTTGTCTCCTCAGACCCTCTGCCAGAGTTTTCCACACTTTCTTCCTTCACTCCCTCATCTTCACACTCTTGTTTCTCCAGTCTACAACATATTCATCCTCTCTGACCATCACCCTTCTCTCTCTCTCTCTCTCTCTCTCTCTCTCTCTTTTAATGTTTACTTTTGAGAGACAGACAGAGCATGATTGGGGGAGGGACAGAGAGAGAGAGGGAGACACACAATCTGAAATAAGCTCCAGGCTCTGAGCTGCCAGCACAGACAGAGCCTGATGTGGGCCTCAAACCCATGAACTGTGATATCATGACCTGAGCCAAAGTCAGATGCTTAACCAACTGAGTCCCCCAGATGCCCCATCAGTTCTCTTGAGTTCTTTTCTCCCTTGGATTCTATGACATGGCATTTTTATTATTCTTTTCTTCCTCTCTGGTCTGCACTCCTGTGTGCAGGACACTGCTTAAGCTCTCAGTTCTTACCATTACTTCTGGAATTTGAAGTTTTATGACACTGAGTCTACACCTATGGATGGCAGAGGCAGAAAAGCATGGCTTCTGTCTTGCTGGAGTGGCAGATCCCAGCCACAGCTGGCAGCAAGTAATTCTGGGAAATGTGGCTTGAGGTTTCTAGCCCCCTGCAAAACAGAGGAGAGCTCAAGAAGGAAAAAACAAAAAACAAAACAAACAAAAAAACCACCAGAGTTAAGAGCTAGTAGGTGAATAACTGGTACCTTCCAGGATCATCATTTTCCAACTGAGGCTAGGAATAGCATTTATCTTGGAGGTTTTCAGTGAGAAGTATATGAGTTAATGGATATAAAGTACACTTGCCACATGCCTGATTGTAGGAGCTCCTAAATTCTGTTCCCTTTTCCTGCATGCTAGGGCATACCTGACTTAGTCAAGTTGGCCTTCCTTTGCATGTAGCTTTAATTGCTGCCCAGCTCTTTCACCTAGAATTGGAGCATAAATAAAGTCCTAGTTTGGCAATTGGGAGAGATGACCAATTTGACTGACTTCCAAGAGCTCTGTCCAAGTAGCTAGTTTTCTCTTAGGCCTCATTTTGGCTACTGGACTAGTTTCCTCTCTTCCCATCTATCAGTTATTCAGGGTTAGGTGACATCTTATCCTCTCCCAGGTCTAAGTCAGGCTGGAATGTCTTGCTGATAGTTCTTGGTTCCATGTTATCCTCTTTCAGGAAGCAGTCTCAGCCCTGCTGCCTTATCAGCTGCAGAGAACCTGATCTCCTATGCCATCCAGAAGGGTCGTCTGTCACCCAGGTATATTCAGCCACTCATCTTGGATGAAGAGGTCTGTCTGGCCCCTCAAAAGCCAGTGATGCCTAGGAAAGGTAAGATCCTTAATCTTGCCTCACTTTCCTCCCAGTTACCACTCAACCACATAAGAGAATGCTGTGCCCTATTGGTGTTCACTGGCTTCTTGGATCAAGAACATCTCCTGCTGAGATCCAAAAATTTCTGACAGGCCACCTTCCTGGCCCCCTCTCCTTCCCACTAGAGTGATATAGCCATGAGGCCATTCTTGATATCAGTATATACGTGCACACATTTTCATTCAAGCAACAGATATTTACTGAATATGAGGCACTATTCTAGGAACTGAGAATACAGCTGTGAACAAATACAAATTTGCACACTTCAGTGAAGAAAGACAGAAAATGAAGAGCTCAACAAGTAAACTACATATGATGTCAGATTGCATCAAAGTTATGGAGAAAAAGAAAACATGGGAATGAGATGGGGCAAACATTTATACATGTTTGTGTATACTAGGTAAGCTACACACACACACACACACACACACACACACACACACACACAGAGCATTCTAAGTGCAAAATCCAGCCATCCTGCAACATGACCACAACACTGAGAAAAATAAGTCAACAGGTAACACTGACATCAGAATGAATATTCCAAGAAGTTGGGTAATGAAAATCATGTGCTATTTTGGAGTGGACAAGTAGTGACCTAAAACCAGTACAATTTATCTAGCTCTCTGCTAGAGATGGGCCTTTTCTTGGACTCAAGGATATTTTTATTAAGCCTTTTTTTTTTAAATAAAGTGTTTCTGGCCTTCAGATGGATGCTGTCTTCAATAATGATATTTTTAGTATTTGTAGAGTTTTTATATATTTTGAACTATTTCCATATACACATGATCAGTTCAGAGACACAGCTGATTTCTGCACACTGTCCTGTTTCATAGGTCCACACACCTGCAATACATACATTGCAATACATTTGCAATACATCAAGCAGGTAGGCATACTTTGTCTTTTGAATAAAATGGCCATGCCTCTGTACAATTAACAGTCCTTTCCCTTCTGTTCATATAATGATTTCCACAGTTGTTATCAGAAACTGTAAATTTTTGCCTCTGTCCCTTGGCTCTAGCCACGTGACCCAGATAGTCCCTATCTGGACTTTTCTAAATTCCACATCTAGAGCTCACATCAGGAAGTGGCAATGGGTGCCAGAGGTTGGGCGATTATGAGTTTGTCCATAAGTGGACCAATGTGTGTTCCCATGCTCTTGGTTTTTTTACCTTACCACAGGTTGCCCCAACATCATCTTGCGGTCAGTATGGGAAGCCAGAGAGACACACTGCCCTAAAATGACCCTCCCAGCCAAATATGTCATTATCATCCACACCGCTGATACAACCTGCAATGTATCCATGGACTGCCATATTCGTGTCCGAGATATACAGTCCTTCCACATGGACACCCAGCACTTCTGTGACATTGGATATCAGTAAGAGGGATTGAAAATATGCTCTCCTCTTCTTCAGGACTGTAGGAAGGAAGGCTGGGGAAGGAACTGATATTTATCGAGCCCTTCTTTAGTAGTGGGTGCTTCACATAAAACATCACATTTTATTCAAGCAAGGCTCTGGACTGAGAATCAGTCAGAGCATAGCTAAGGGTTAGTTATCTCTCCTGTGCATATTCTCTATGAGTGTTTGGGAAGACTCTGAAAAGACATTAGTGACAATAATGGTAAAGCAAGACCATGAGATCTTTATGGAAAGCCATCAGAGTATTGTGCATTTTTATACAATCCCCTCCAACCACTCAGGGTCACAGGCCTTGCTCACCCCCATCCTTAGTCTGGTCCAACCTCAAACCTGCCCCCTCTGATGTTAGAATCCTGTAATAACTCTGGTATTATTTACCCCATTTTATAGATACACAAACTTTTCACCTTCCTGGGCCTCTTTTGCCTCATTTCTGCAATAGGGACAATAATACCTTATCTATTTGAAGATATAAAGTGAAATAAAAATGTTCTTTTCTGGTTCCTTTAATGTCAGGTCTATAATAAAGAAACACATTAAGTTAGTGGAACAGCAGAAGCCACTTGGAAGGTGCCTTGGAATTTTTATAGAAAGAATTTAGGTTTAGCATATCATAAATTTCGATTACTCATCTATGACTTGATACAATAAAACTGTAGTCTCAGGTACAGATGTGTCTTTTGCATATGTGTCATTCTGGGCTGGTTGCTTTTGTCCTTTTAACTCCCATTTTAAAAGCAGCCTTTGACATCTGGGTGTCTTCTTTAAAGAAATGTCTGTTCACATCTCCTGCCCATTTTAAATTGGATTATGTATTTTTTTTTTGGTGTTGAGTTGTGTAAGTTCTTTATGTACCTTGGATACTAACCATTTATTGTATATGTCATTTGTAAATATCCTCTTCCATTCCATAGGTAGTCTTTTAGTTTTGTTGATTGTTTCCTTTGTTCTGCAGCTTTTAATTTTGATGTAGTTCCAATAGTTTATTTTTGCTTTTGTTTTCCTTGCCCCAGGAGAGGCAATATCTAGAAAGATGTTGCTATGGCTGATGTCAGAGAAATTACTGCCTATGCTCTCTTCTAGGATTTTTATGGTTTCAAGTCTCACATTTAGGTATTTAATCAATTTTGAGTGGGATTTAAGAAACATAACAAATAATCAAAAGAAAAAGAAGAGAGAGAAATAAACCAAGAAACATACTTTTAATTATTGAGAACAAACTGATGGTTTGTTACCAGAGAGGAGGTGGATGGAGGGGTGGGTAAAATAGGTGATGGGGATTAAGAGTACACTTACGATGAGCACTGAGTAATGTATAGAATTGTTGAATCACTATTTTGTACACCTGAAATTAATATCACACTCTATGTTAAATATACCAAAATTAAAATTAAAGACTTAGTTAAAAAAATTAAAAGCAGCCTTTGCAAACAGAAAGAAATAGTTGCTGCATTTTGCAGGATTTCCCACAGTCTTGCTATGATGATTTAGCACAGACAAGAGAGAGTTGTTCATAAATTTGGAAATTCCAAATGGAAAATACCAGATGCTCAGGGAATGTTAGTTTTCCTTTTTCATTCAGTCTTCAAGGACCTCATCTTCTTTCCTTGATTTTATGGTATCTCCCTTTCACTCCAGCCTCATGGTATGTTATCTTTAACATTGAATGGTCTCCAGTTAGGTCCTTCTTGATCACCATATGCTAACATTTTAACCAGTATTTATTGTGTGTCTGTTATATGCTTGATGCTTGGCAAGATAGATATGGCTCCTTCCCTCATGGAGTAGTACAGAGAAGACAGTGAACAGTAATGACAATCCTTCGTGTTAGACACCGTGACAGATAAGGAACAGTATACGCAGAGGATGATCCTCTAACAAGACTTTGGTAGAGTGGGCAGTGACAGGAAAAGGCTTCCAGAGGGAGGGGCATCAAGTTTCTGATGTGGGTAAGGAGTGGAGATTAGTGAGGCAAAGAAGGGTAAGGAGTGTTTCAGGTTAGGGGAGCAGCATGTACTAGGCTCTGGGGTCCAGAGAGGGCATATCCTTGAGGAACTAAAAGGAGCTTAATTCATATCTACAAATACATTTCAGCAAGGGGACTGGTAAGAGGCAAGGTTGGAGAAGCCAACAGGGACCATATCAGAGGATCTTGGAGTTGGTCCTGACAGACTGACTCTATCTGAAAGGCAGCTGGAAGTCATGCCTCATGTTTGGGTTTGTATTTTAGCAAAAGCACTTGAGGTGCTGTTCCAGGAATGGATTAGAAGGAAGTGAACCTCTGGGCAGGGAGTTATTGATGTAATCCAGACAACAGGTGATGGTGACTTGGAACAGCAGGGTGGCAGTTGGCGTAGAGAGAAGTGGAGGAATCAAGGTCAGAGATATAGCCACATATCATGATAAGACGTGACCAATGATGGGATGGGACTGGGAGAGGAAGAGAGAGGTGGAGTCATTCAGATGATGTCCACACTTTTGACTGAGAAAATTGCAGAAGAAGATGGGTTCATTTGGACATGTTAGTTTTTATAGATAGTAATTAAAGCCCATGGGACTTGGAAACTGTCCCAGGCGAATATGCTGAGTGACAAGAGAGAAGGGGAAAGTCAGAGTCCTGAGGAGCACCATATTTGAGGAAAGGGAGGTGGATGACAGAGGACCCTGGGTGGGGGGAGCAGCAGAGCAGAGGAAAATAGGGTGTGGGCTCCTGGAAGCCCTGGGGAGAGAACATTTAAAGAGAGTGGCTAAGAGGGTCAATGTAACCAGAACAAAAACAAGTTTCCATTGTTCTAGTGTCAAGACAGTCACTGGTCACCTTGGTGGTGTCAGACTCCGTGGAGTTGTGGGGACAAAGACCATGTTGGAATGGACTGAAGTTGCTGTTATTGCTTTTGATTATCTTTACTTCTTAGGTTCGGCAACTATGAAGTTTTTGTTGCTGCTGCTGCTGTTGCTGTTGTTGTTTGGTCTCTGTATACACTGGCACATAAGACATGTTCACTCTATACCTGATGAATGCAAGAAAGAATGAATTAATGATTCAAGGAGTGAATGAAGTGAATTCTCCTTCCAGAAGTGACTTCCTCTATTTTCCTTTATCCAAACACAGCTTCCTGGTGGGGCAGGATGGTGGTGTGTATGAAGGAGTTGGCTGGCATATCCAAGGCTCTCACACCTATGGATACAATGATATTGCCCTAGGAATTGCCTTCATAGGCAACTTTGTAGGTAAGGGGTAAGCATGGGGCAGAGAGCATTCTGGGGGGAAGAAGTTTCATGTACAATGTCTGGAAAGCATGGGGGAAAAGACAACATTATGGTACCTGGCAGCGTTGGTTAGGACATTTTAGCTTTAAAGTGGACTCTCAGTATAGGATGCAGGTCCCCCAGAGTCCCTTCCAGGCAGAACTTTTCCCCAAATCCACCTGTCCCCATACTCAGCCCTGTCTTTATAGCCATACCCAAGGCAAGCATGAAGCAAGAAAGAACACCATCCTTTGCAAACATGGTATTTTTATGGGTCAGTTGGCAAATGTATTCTCCTCCCTGGTGACCATGGAAGCAATGTTGGGGAGCCCCACTGCCTGCTCTGGGAAAATAGTGGATGGTCCAGTGGTGCCAAGTCTGCCTCACGGTACATGCTGAGGAGTGTTGTATTGTACTGCAGGTCTCTTCCAACGCAGTTTAGATCTTTCTGGAAAGAGCTTTGCAAGGAGGAATCAGAGAACAAAATGACTTTGTTTTCTCTTCGTGCTTGGCTGCCACAATTAATATGAATTTGTTGGCTCTGAATTTGGTGGTGGTGGTAGGGGTAGGGACAGAGGGAGACTGGAATCTACGTGCTTGTCCCTTCCCTAAGCAAGTAACATTGAGACTCTGCGAATTGATGGATAAAATGTGTTTTGCAGAAAAGCCACCCAATGCCGCAGCCCTGGAGGCAGCCCAGAACCTGATCCAGTGTGCAGTGGACAAGGGGTATTTAACTCCCAACTACCTGCTGGTGGGGCACAGTGATATTGTCAATACACTGTCTCCTGGGCAAGCTTTGTACAACATCATAAAGACTTGGCCTCATTTCAAACACTGAAGGAGCCCCTGCTCCTTCTCAGACTGCTTCTCCCACCTGGCTGCTGGGCCTCCCCTGTCCTCACCCCCCATCCTGACTCAACACCTGGTGTCCCCTCCAAGTCAGCCCCATCCTGTCCCTCCTTTCTCAGGTTAGGATGCTCCTCTCCTGCTAGCACCACCCCCCAGCAGCCCCAAACCCCGGAGCCGGGCATAGCCAGCCCTCTGAGTGAGCCCCACTGTCCTCACCCCTCACCTTCCCCTCCCCTGGGCTCCCAGCTGCTAAGCCAGGTGGGAAGATGGGCTGATCCTGGTTTGGCTTCTCTTCCCTTTCCGGCTGCCCCTCTGCCCCATGTACCTTCCCCTGCCAGCTTCCCAGCAGCCCCCAAGCCGCACACAGGACCCAGGTCAAGGCCCAAAACCCCTCTCTGCTCACACACCCACTTGTGCGCATGTGAACGCAGCCCTTATTTCAGGGCTCATTGCTTACAGGTGTGCTTGTTCTCTCCACTGGATTGTGAGGGTTCCCGGGTTCATGTGCCCCCATGTCCTTGATCCCTCAGCAGCGTCTGGAGTCTTGTATGTGCTACAGATGTTTGTTGGAGAGGTGGAGGAATAAACAAATGTGTGAGTAGAGTCCCTGCTTCTCTTTCCAGTCTGTTCCGCCATCCCCTCTCTTTGGGGACACCTTCTGGGGCTGTTCCCCATCCTGCCATTTTCTCTGTTCTTGCCCCTCCCAGTCTGAGGCTCCGAGCCAGCTCTGGCCACTTGACTGGAATGGTTGCTGTGGCTCTAGGGTCCTGTGTCCTGTCCTCCCCAAGCTCCCCGAGGGCAGAGACAGTACTCCTCCAGGCCCAGCGGGGCGGTGTCCACACAAGCCACCTGTGCCTGAAGCGTTCCCTTGCCCAGCTGTGCCCACTGGCCTTGGGGCCCAGTGGGGACCCAGAGCCTGGGACTCTGCAGCCCTCCTGGCCTGGTCTCCCGCTGCCCAGAGGGAAGCCAGATACTTCCATCTGGGGGAGATGGTATTTTGCTGTTCACTGGAAGTATATCAGCTGGCTCTTGTTTCTCCTGATCTGGAAACAAGGGGGTGGGGCAGCAGGGACAGGAAGAAGAAGGGGAGGGATAAATAGAAGTAGCCAGAAATAGGGACTCCCCCCGCACCTTTGATATTTTTACTGTGTCTTTGCCCTTAGAGTGTTTTACGTCTCTTCAACAAGGCATGTTTTAACAGTCTCTCATTTTACAGCCCTTTTTCTTTTCAGAACTCTTCCTGTCACCTTACTGGATTTGCTGTCCTTTTGTCATTTGTTCTCAGACCACCTGGCATGTTAGCAGAGGAAGGAGTGATTTATCTGGAGGGTCAAGTAGGCCCAGTGCCTCTTGCTGATTTATCCAGCCATCAGACGTAGCTCCAGGAGAAACCCCTGGGCTCTCTCTTCTAGAGGCTCCTTCCTTGGGGGCACAACTTCCCACAGGAACCTAATGTTTCCCTGTCTCTTAAAATATCGAGGATGAGTTTCCCAGCCATTCACACAGGGAGTACCCAATAAGATGGATGTAAGATGCTGAAAATTGTCTCACAATAAAAATTGTCCTTCGAATTTCTTGACTTTTCTTATAATCTTCCCTTTGATTGAGAAAGGGTCTTGTCTCTTTGATTCAAACCTGGTCCCCAGGCCTCAGACTCTCATTGGCCTCCCATAGCCTCTACCCCAGGCAGGCTGTGAACAGGGCTATAGACTTCCCCATCTCTACCAGCACTCATCAAGGCCTTCTCAAGTCAACAAAACTGCATGGTCTGGATTACTGTCTCCTCCATATTGTTTACTTTTTTTGGTCTTACCGATATAATCTGAGTAGAAACAGAGCACTCAGCTGTCGAATGCTTTTTTTTTTTTTTTTATGTTTTATTTATTTCTAGGAGAGAGAGAGAGAGACAGCATGAGCAGGGGAGGGTCAGAGAGAGAGGGAGTCACAGACTGAAACAGGCTCCAGGCTCCGAGCTGGCAGTCAGCACAGAGCCCGACGCGGGGCTCGAACCCACGAACCGCGAGATCATGACCTAAGCGGAAGTCGGACGCTTAACCGACTAAGCCACCCAGGCGCCCCTGTCAAATGCTTTTTTAAAGGCAAATTCTGCGACAGCTCATTCTGTGCAGTTGGCTCTTCTGAGTCCTCAGTAAAGAACGAACAATTCTTCCCAACTCCCCTTAATCATGTAAAGCAGGGTTCATAGTACCCTCACCACATCTGAGTGTTGTTGTGGTGATTAAGTGAATTAAAATGTGTTAATGTCTTAGACTTTGTGGTTGGCATGTGATAATGTTTCCATTAAAATTTGTGGAGGTATGGTTATTCTTGTTGCTATTGGTGTGATTTTGCACCAGGCAATAGCTCGTGTAGGGGTCAAGAGCAGCCTGCCGCAAAGTGTGCCTCTTGGGCATACTGATTATTTTAACTGAAAGTCACATCAGGAGGCACCTGGGTGACAGTGTTATGCGGCCGACTTCCGCTCAGGTCAGTTTGAGTCCGGCATCCGTCTCGCTGCTGTCTGCATGGGGCCTGCTTGGGATCCTCTTCTGTGCTCTCTCTCTCTCAAAAATAAATAAACATTTAAAAAAGTCACTTCAGAGACAGCCTGTGCAGGAAGGACACTCAGATCCTTCCTCCTGAGAAGGAATAAATACATCTTTCTGGTGAACAGTACCCTCCCTGTAGCAGGAGAGAAAGAGACACCCTTATCACCAGAGGTGGGAGATTTAGAGCAGAGGAGGCTGTTTAACACCCCTTGTTTCTTTTTACTAATTTACCACCCAGCCCCAAATCTGTTTAGAATCCCTCACGAATTGGAACTCCCAACGTTAAGTTTTCTTTGTCCTGTCAATAACTCACAGATTGTCTATTTGTCTGAAGCGTATAAAAACTGCCTGCCTGGTCACTTCTTTAGCCTTAATTCCATTCCTGGGCCTCCATGTTCACTTAATAAAACTTTGGGTTTTTTTCCCCCACTGTTAGTGTGTCATGTAAAAATAATTCCTAGTCCAGTGAAGACCTTGAGGGTAGAGATGAACTTACTCTTTCCTTCAGTACCAATTAGTCCTATTTGCCGCAGGAAGGATGTGGATGTGCCTTTGCAGGCACCAGCCCGGGCACCCTGGGAGTTTGGTGTTCCCCAGGAGAGCAGGCCGGCCTGAAGCTTGTGGCGCACAGGCCCTGGCAGGTTTGAAGGAGCCCATGGTGAAGGAGGGACACACCTTTTTCACAGTCCCTGGCTGTCAGGTTGTAGGGGCTCTAAAGCTCATCTTGTCAGTTGTTTTGAACAACTGTAAGCTGGGGGGAAAAGCCAAATTAAGTTTTCTTTGATTCCAGAATAAAATACTAATCTGGTTAACGTCCCACATTTTATTGAAAACTGAACCCCAAAGGGCCAGATGACCTGTTCAAGTTCACTCAGTGAATTACAGAAAGGAAGGAGTGTGGCACCATTTCTTTCACACCTCTGGTCAAAATGATTTGATGGTCACTCTTTTCTGACAGAGTGAAGTAAACAACAGCATGACAACCAGGGCCTTTTACGATCTCACTCCAAGTTACTTTTTCCCATAGAATGAACCCAAGTGGTCAAGGTATGGGCTCGCTTTTTGGGCTAACCCATCTTGGAGCCTTTGCCCACACTGTCCCTGCCCTGCTCTTGACTACTGCAATTCCACCAGCTTTTCAGACACTTATCCAGGCGAGTTCTTCCAGAAGCCTTCTTGCTTCTTCAGACCAGAAATCACATTTTCCTCCCCCAGGTGCCCGTGAACTTTACCTGGGCCCCTTGGTGGATCATCACTGCCTGCTCCCGTCTCCCTCCCAACCTAGGCTCTCCAGGCTGTGCCTCACCTGTCAGGGCTCAGGATCTCCTGGGGCACCTTTGTGTCTATGCAATGGAAGGCCGGGAGCCACACCTGGGCATGGCTGGGTGAACACAGGCAGCATTCCCCGCCTGGGAGGGTGGCTGCTCTTCCCTCAGATGGGATTGAGGTATTTGTTAGAGTGGAAAATCCCCATGTCTTCCCACTGTTGTAGCCCATCAGATTTCTCCTAGGTTAATTCCATCTTCATTCCAGGCCATTCATTGCTCCCATCTTCCAGTGCCCCATCCCCATCAGTGAGATTTGGGGAAAGATGTTCGTCACCACCAAAGTTCTCTTACCACTCTTGGAGGCTTCTGTGACCTTCTCACTGTGGAGGCCACAGGCACGGTTGGGGGTAGCCACTCCCCTGCCTAGCCCCCACCTGTGCTCCCTGGCTCTTCCTCTATCTCTTTGGCTTCTTTCTTCCCCACTATGTCTGTTTCTCTCTCTCTCTTTAGTATCTATCTTCCTCCCACCTCTGCCTGCCTGTCTTTTTTTCCTTCTCTCATGCTGCCTCCCCCTCTGCTCCTCAGTGCGTCTCATTTTCTGTCTCTGTCCGCCCTTCTGCTTCTGTGTCTGCCTTGATTTTGCCCTTTCTCTTTTGCTTTCTCCGGCACCCAGAATACGGCCTCATGAAAGAAACAGCCAAAAGGGGTCTGAGACTGTAGACCCCTGCCACTTCACCCATCCTGCCCCAGAGCTGCCAAGATACCAGCCGAGGATGCGGTGGCTCTGGGGAAGGCACACATTTTCCGGAGCTTAGAGCCACACAGAAGCAGAAGTGGGACAGGTGTTTCTGGCCCAGCAGGTTCTGCCTGGCTGGGCTGAGCAAGGGCAAGGCCTTAATTAGAAACGCTGGCTGGGAGAGAAGGGAAGGTGTTATTATCTGGGAGAGTGGGAGGTGGGGGTGGGAGGTCCTTGCGGTGTGGTAGGGACTTCTGAGAGACTTTCTGCAGAAGCTAGCGTAAGAAGTGCCTCCCCACAGTAGGGAGCTGGGGATTCCGTCTCAGGAACCCGGGAGCCCTTTGGTACCCAAGAGTGATGCAGCTGTCTGCATGTGAGGTGAGCTGGGAAATTTCTTAACTCGTCCTCCAGGCTCAGCTCATGTTCCTTCTTCTAGGAATCCATCTCTTGAGGCCCCCAAGTTAGGATTGTCCTATTCAGTTCTTCTTTGGCACTCTGTTCCTTTGTAATTATTTTTTACATAATTATAAATCTGTGTGTGTGCCCATGTGTATATATATTTTATATGGTCTGACTGACGCACGATACCTGGTGCATAGTAAGTACTCAGTAAACATTTTTAAAAAATGATTTTATTTATTCTTGAGAGAGAGACATAGCACGAGCAGGGAAGGGCAGAGAGAGAGAGGGAGACACGAATCTGAAGCAGGCTCCAGGCTCTGAGCTGTCAGCACAGAGCCCGACGCAAGGCTTGAACCCACGAACTGTGAGATCATGACCTGAGCCAAAGTCAGGCACTCAACTGACTAAGGCACCCAGGCGCCCCTCGGTAATCATTTTAGACATTCAGAATTCCAAAGGGGAACAAGTGCTGTTTGTTTAATGACTTGTCTTGGAGCAAGTAGCAAGTGCAGTTTGTTTGTCTGGTCTGTCCTGGATGGGTCCCTCCCACTGGCTCATCATATGGAGGGTGGGAGAGGTGGAAGTTGCAGAGGCTAGAGTAAGAAGTGCCACCCCATGGTAGGGAGCTGGGGGTTCCGTCTCAGGGTG